AGGTAGTTTGAGATGTGCATCCTCTGCAGAGTGACTGATGGAGTCACCATCCCTGGAGGTGTTCCAGAAATTTGGAGATGTGGCAGTGAGAGACATCATTCAGTGAGCAATATTGTGGTAGGTGGATGGTTTGACTAGATGATCCTAGAGGTCATTCCCAACCTTAATGATGTTCGGTGTTCAATGACACCACAACCTGAGTGATGAAGTGAGTGTGCAAAAGGTGAAACCTTCAGAATTTATTTTTTTCATGAAGATGTGTATGTGGAAATGAAAAGTCCTTAAGTCAGTGAACAAAATGTCATTAAAGTACATTTTTGTATTCCTTAGCACAACTTGCATACCTTTTGATTTATGGGAGATAGAAAGCACAATATTGGCCATTGGGTGCTCCTTCTGCAGGAGGGTCTGGCAGCTCAGAGCTCACCAGAGGATTTAAATTTTCCCCTTTTTTTTTTTTTTCCGCTTATGTCTTAAAACATGACCCACCTGGGAGAAGATATACACATCTCTTTAGTCAGCAATCCTGTTTTTTGCTAAGAAGGAGGTTTATGCTCTTTCCCATCACAGTTTTGCCCACAGTGAATGTTTAAAACCCCTGAGTCAGGCCTTAGAAAATAAATAAATAAGCCGCACAGCTGACTTAAGGCATGATGGTGGCTTTTTGTTTCAGGGTGTTAAGCCTTAACCCTTAGCCCAGGAAGGTCATTACCAGCAGAGGCTGTCCCTTCACACACGAGAACAAAGTTCTGGGCTGAGGCGATCCCAGCTGGGATTTCATAGAATCATAGAATGGTTTGGGTTGGAAGAGACTTCTAAGATCACCTAGTTCCAACCCCCTGCTACAGGAAAGGACACTTCCCTCTAGACCAGGTTGCTCAAAGCCCCATCCAGCCTGGCCTTGAATGCTTCCAGGGAGGGGGCATCCAGAGCCTCACTGTGAACACAGCCTGTTCCAGTGTCTCACCACCCTCACAGTAAAGAATTTCTTCCTAATATCTAGTCTCAATCTACCTTCTTCCAGTTTGAAAACTTTCCCCACGTCTTGTCGCTACCTGCCCCTCCCCAGCTTTCCTGTAGGCCCCTTCAGGTACTGGAAGGCTGCTCTAAGGTCCCCTTGGAGCCTTCTCCAGTCTGAAGAGCCCCGTCTCTCTCAGCCCATCCCCACAGGGGAGGTGCTCCAGCCCTCTGATCATCTTCATGGCTTTCCTCTGGACCTGCACCAACAGCTCCATGCCCTTCTTGTGTACTCCAAGTGGGGTCTCACGAGAGCAGAGGAGCAGAATCACCTCCCTGGCTCTGCTGGTCACACTTCTCTTAATACAACCCAGGATATGGTTGACCTTCTGGGTTGTGCTGTACCTCTGGATGAGCTCAGGGGTCCTCCTGCTTTTGCAGGCACCTCACAGGATGGGACAGGACCCAATAGGGACAGGATAAATACGTGTATATGTGAGTGTATATATATAGATGTGTTCCTTGAGCTTGCAGGAGGCTGAGGCCTGGCAGAAGGCTCCTAGCTGAGATGCCCTGAATGCTCCTATAGGCTTCCCCACACGTTTAGTTCGGAGCCTGGAGAGCTGCATTGGAAGCTCGGGCGCCTCAAGGAAGATAGCTGTCCCCAGCACGAGCTGCCTCCCGGCGGCCCCTTTAAGGAGCGCGACCCGCAGCCGGCCGCCTCGCCCGCCCGCTTCTGTTTCGCTTCCCCCGGCCCTGCCCGAGACACTCGGAGTCAAAGCAGGTGCATGCGCAGTGTGCTGGCAGCCGGGCGCGCGTGCGCACTCACCTGCTGGATGCCCCCCCTCCATCCGCGCTCCTCCCAGCCGGTACATCCGGGTCACCGCACGCCCGCCCGCACGGCCGGTCCCCTGTGGTGCTTTGCGGCTCGCCCCCTCCCCCTTCTCCCCCCTCCCCTCAGTGCGGGTGGCTCCGGCGCTGTCGCCATCCGCCCCTGCCCTGCGCGGGGTCCGGCCCGGCCCGGCCCAGGGAGGCGGCGGCTCCGGCTCCGTCCGCATCGCCGGGCGGCTCGGTGAGTGCGGCGGCGTGCGGGGAGGGCGGGCCGGGTTCGCCGCGACCTCCGCGCCTCTCAGCCTCGGCGGCACGACCTCCGTCGTACCCCACGTTCCCGCCGCGGCCCGGAGGGGACGGCGCTGCGTCCCATCTGTTGCTCCTCCGCAACTTCTCGCGGCTCTGCCCGCCCCCCCCTCTCCGAGGAGCGGCCCCGGGGCGGCCGGCGCGGCGGGGAGCTGAGCGGTGGGGACGTGCGCTGAGCGTTGCGGGGCACAGGGGTTTGTCGTGGGGACCGGGCGTCCCCGCTGCGGTACTGGGGCTGTCCGCCAGCCTTGGGTAAGGTGAGTCCAGCGGTTTGGAGGCGGTTGTCGTCTGTTCGTGAAACAGCAGATAGAATCACGTTGTAATTAGGTCTGGATTTTTATGTAGGAATAGTAGCGTGTGCAACTCAGTTCTGTCTTGTTAGTTTGCAGACTGGTGCAATAGCATTTTCTTGGGGTCTTAAAATACGACAGCCTTCTTCACAGGTGCATCTCAGGTAAAGAAATGGGGATGCTGCTGGCCGTGGAGGTTCGTGAGGAGCTTTCCTCTTTTCCTGTTCCATGGCATGCGCATGTCAGTGTGGCAGCTCTTCAGGTGTGGTAGCAGCATCTCGCCTCTTAAATCCCTCGTTCCGAATTTCTCGTGATGTAAAGTAGAAATACAGGTGTCACGTCAACATGCGTGTTGATCCTTAAGCCGGCAAAACGTTGAGGCTAGGGTAGTGATCTGTCACCTTCCCTATTACCAGCTCTGCAAAGTTTGCTTTCCTCAAACTTCTTAGTTTTTTTCCTTTGCACAGACAGCTTCCTTTATTTCTGCTGATTTCTTGGTGTTTATACAATAAATGAATGTTTTCTATAGTAGGCTGTGGCAGGTGGAGGTATTGGACAGGAGAAATTGAGCTACTCAACTGAGGTTACTGCTGTCAGAGTTGGAACCTGCACCAACCTGTCAGTTGCAGCCTGCCGTACCCTGTTACCGTGAGACACGTCGCTGGGCTTCAGAAAACGTCTTCAGCTCTGTGTTGTAAAGGTAATGGTAAAAAGCCAAATGACGTGAATGAAACACTGCTCTTCTGTGGAATAGGAATGCGTTTTGTTTGACATACAGAGAGCGCTGCATTATTGAAACAGAAGCTTTTAGTGGAAGCATAGATAGCATTTTATTGAAGTCAAGCTGTGAGGTTTCTTCTTGCATACATTAGCCGTCAGAGAATAGGGACAGTGGAAAGAAACAATCCCAGAATCAGTTCCAGAATACCTCTGTCATGAAACATTGCCATTGTATGAAAGTGAGGAACGAATCTGATCCTTTCTGTTACATAACTCCCATTTGGCATCAGGTGCTCTAGATTTTCCTCATTGTTTGCAGTTTAGCTGAGGCCACCTGAGGTGAGTGATTATTGAAAGATTCTTCTGAAATCATCCACCTCCTCACATGAAGCCTTTCCTGTTGGGGCCTGGCTGTCTCTTGAAATACAGTGTTAGCTGGCTCTTTTCTTGCAGATGTAACTGTACTGTTCTCTTTCCTAGAGTTTTGCATCATCTTTGTAACATCTGCATATAAGAAAAAAATATTATACCTTGTGCAGTGGTAGCTAGTATACATCTTAGCAGATGTATTAATTTGAAATGAATTGAATGCAATACTTAGCACGAATAGTTCAGGGAAAGGTATGTGGAGAGCTTCAATAGAAGTCTGGAGACGGGCACCTTGACACAGAAGGGTGGGGAGTATTTTGTTGCTAAGCACTGTATTATTGAATGATACAGTAGTAGAGGTCTGTCATTTGGAAAGGGTATGTAGGAGGCCCTTTTTGGGTTTCTGTACCTGCTTAGATGGGATAAATGTAGGCTTTTTCCCCTCTGTGCTGTTTCTAGAAGAATACAGATATGTAGGCAGCCTGCAGCACTGTTGTGTTGTTGCCTGCCAGCTGGGGGCATGGATGGGAACAATCATAAAGGAGAGGTAAAACTTACATGCAGGAGGTCAGATTGTTTTTTTTAGCAGTCGTTGAGTACTTGTTGCTTCTAAAGAAATAGTACTGAAGTAAGTTAGGGTTATCACCTTTGCCTGCTCTTCTGAATGCTCTTTAAATTGCAGCAAGAGTTGTATTCATTGATGTTGGCAGGCTTAAGTTGAGGAGCGCGGCTCCTGACTCTTAAAGCTCATGCTAACCACCCTGAAGTATATTATAAATGTGAGGCATGAAAGAAATAATGGAAATACATTTTCAAAGCTGAATATTTTGAGTGTTGTCAAATGGCAACTTTTCTTCTGGAGTATTAGCTGTTAAGAAAACATCCTGCAGGTGAGGTATGAAGCCCAAGTGAATGTAAGTGCTGAATCCACGTAGAGCTTGAGTGTCAGCACTGTGTTCTTGCAGTTAGCACTGCGATGCAGAGATGAGGAATCTTTTTTTGCTATGGTCCCCCCAGGTCTATCAGAATGGCTTCAGGGGGGATGACAGTGATGGGATGATGCAAGGAGTTAAACACTGGCACTGAATAGCCCTGGCACCTGAAAGTGGTGAATCAGGCAGGCAGGGTAAGATTGATTTCAAAGCATTTTCCAGCTGTAAGCAATGACCAGTTGTCTGTACCTTTTGATGTTTTTTCAACACCCATTCATTTGCATGCATCAAGAGTATTTGTGCAAAAGGACCACTGACGTAATCTTTATAAGTCTTCCTGTAATATTAATCTGTAATGAAAGAGTATTTATAAAGTTTTCCTTGTCACTGGATAATTTAACGCCTCTAATACAAGTCTGCTTCTCACGTGCGCAAAGTTGTTTGCTGTTGATTTCAGGACCTTTTGTAAATCCACCTCAGTTTCTCTTCTGTGGTTCAGGAATGTTCTCTTGAGTGCCGCAAGCTGGCTGCTGCAGCTGGCAGAATGTTTCAAACTGTCTGAAATTTGCTGAGAGTAACAGGCTGTCTTCTATAGGTGGTGTTTTACATTTGCTATTCCGCTGCCTATTGGAGGTAGAGGTACAGCAATTATATAAACAGCAGAGCCCAGCAGAAACCACGAACAAACGATGAATAGCTTTAGAATTGACGAGGTAAAGCTGGAAGTATTTTTAGTTACAGCACTTTCTCCTGTGTTCCCCATCTCCTGTGGTTTTAATTGCATTCTTCTTTTCAGAATGAGCATTTTGTCTCCTCTGTCATGTGGAAGCCTGACGCACAGAGAATACCTTCACTGTGGAGACAGTGAAACCAGTAGCAGGCAGAGCAATTGAAAGGTGAAAGTGGTGCGTTCTGCCTTTTGCTCCTGATGACTTGAGTGTCAAGGAAGTTCAGAGACTGTCATAGATAAGAGGTAAAGGCTGACAGTGTCCTTCCAGTCTTCCAACCTTTGTTGTTTGCTTGTGCTGTCAGCTTTGTTTGCTGTTGCTTCTGACTGTATCGTATGGCCTTAGTTAAATGCTTAATGGCTTTTTATCTTCGGTTAATTCCAGAAGTGTAAAGGCTGGTCATGAAGTTATGATTTCTAAAATGAGGTGAGGTGCCAGGCAGTTTTTTTAGTTCTGTAACTATTTTATGCGTTTCGGGAAGTATTTTTGTCTACCTGATTTACTCTAACCTAAATTCTAGTACTGCATTTGGGGAATACCATGTGACTGATCAAAGTCACTGTTTTTCCATCTACACACAGTCATTATGGACCTGTAGGAAAAATCAGAGACTGAACATTTCTGAAGTAAAAAAAGTGCAAACTCCAAGCATATAAAAACTGATTTCCTCAATAATGTTTCTATAGGAGGCTTTTTTTCTCGTGTTTTAGTAGAAACGCACTATGGTTTGTGATCTTATTTACAAGGTGTTTGATGCTCTAGATGCTTATAGATCTGCAGACTTGAGATTCCCAGGTGATCTCAATGCAAATAGTAATTGGGTCTGGGACAGCTTAGCTTGTGAGATTGAGTGCATTCAGTTTGGTGTGGCTGTACTTACTAAAATAGCCTGCCTTGCAAAACAGGCCTTCTGTCTGCCACCCACACCAAACCCTAAAGCCTCATCTTGTGGGAGTTAATACGTTGGTCTGGAAGGCTGATTCTCATCAACATATGCTCCACCTGAATTGGTGACCACTAGGCAAAAGCAGTTCTGTACCAGCCGTCAGTTTATGTATGAGGAAGTGGGGCAGGAGGCTGTCCCAGATACATCCTTAAAAGCCCTTTTTACATCCGCCTGCGTACTTAACCATTCTCTGGTAGCACGAAGCTGCCCTGTGAGCGAGTTCTGTTTAACTGGAGCAGTTCAAAAGCCTCTTAAATTCAGCCAGGAGGCAATTCTGGTTCTCCTTCAGCACTTGATTATTAAATTAAATGGAGTGTTAGGGTGAGTAACTTCTGGTGTGCTATACAAGGTAATAGATGAGTTCCTAGGAACCCAAGTTGTAAATTAGCTGACTGGTAAGCCCTGTTTCTGTGACAAGTGGGTCTGGCAGTTGTGTAACTTCAGAAGTCAGATGTAACTGAGTGTGCTTCCAGTCAGGTGTGGCACTGGGAGACTACTGGTTCTCTTTATTTGGATTTATAGGACTCCAGAGGGTAACATCCTCACATGCACGGATCTCTTTGTCTTTGTGCTGGACAGCAAGGTGCTTGCTTCTGCTTATGTACAACATTAATCTTTTTAGTGCAAAAAGTGTAGTTTTCTGAATTCTAGGCTGTCTGTTCAATGGCACCGATAGACTAAAATCAACTTAGAAGAATGGCTAAAATATATTTGTAGATATATTTCTTAAAAGCAAAGCAAACCTCTCAGGCAGACAGTAAACAGGGAGAGAGGTTTTGCTCTCACGAAGTGTGTTCTGGGCAAGAGCTTGAAAAGCCAGTTCATTTCTTTTTTGTTACATTTGCACCTTTAATGTGCTGAGGCACGTGGTTATTTGAGACTGTTCCTTCCTAATGTGGAAGTGAAATGTGTAACCACCAGACTTTACCAAGCTTTGTCTTGGAGGTAAAACTGCTGACCTTTTGTATAAGTGAGAATCATACGGACAAGACAACACTGTGTGGGGACTGATAAGGAACAGTATTTAATTGATTTAGTATTTACATTTCCTGCTTGTGTTTATTACACTGGGTGCTTCTTGTGCTCGCAGGCAGCTGGCTAAAATCGTACTCTTGTGAGTGCTGCAGCAGTACTTCATGCGCTTTAGCAGGGCTTACCTTTGCGTCTCAGTTCAGTGTTGAGTTCATTTCTCAGCAGTAGTAACAGCATGACATGAGCTAGTTGGTATCCCCTAGCCTGAAGTTTAGAGATGTTCCAAAGGCATGTTTCAAAAGCATCTAAACAAATCCAGAGTTGCTTTCTTTTCAGAAATCTGTTTTTAGCGACATTCAAACTTGTCCAGGAGAATCTTCTTAATAAGCATGGGGTAGAGTTGTGTCCCAGGAGGTTGTTGTTGCAGGTGAGACTGGCAGTAATGTCTAGGAAATGGCAGCATAGTATGCTATTGATTAAGACATTGAGCAAATACTGTTATATATTGATGTTAATATTGTGTCAGGTGTTCAAAAGAATTTCAATCAAAGTACTTCAGTAGCTGCCAAAAGTGAGACTTGGGAACAGATGTTCTAACTGTATTCTTGACATTTTTTGACAGCTCTTCACACAGCTCTGGTGTGCCTGAGCTCTGCAGCAGGGTGTTTTTGCAGGGTTTGTGCCTCCTGCTTTGCTCCTCTTTCCTGGTGCAGAATATGCCTTGTTTTGACCCCATTACAATCCTATGAAAGCTCATTTCTAATAAACATTTATCCAGTCAGGCAGTATGGAGGAAGAAAAGAGCTGGGATGGAGATAATGTCTGAGGTGAGGAGCTGTAGCAGTAAGCTAAGAGGAGGAGCAGCTCATTTTGAGCTGAAAGTAGGGAAAAAAATGAGAGCTGGAGTCTGGATCTGAGTTGGGGACAACTTGTTCAAGTTGTGGAGAGAAGGCTGGAAGCTTGTGGGCTGTGTGAAGGCTGTCAGCATGGTATTGATTGAGGGAATGTGTAGGAATGATGATGTTAATCTGTCAGCAGGTTGGGGTCATCAGGGAAGACAGGAAATTGCTGGACAAGAAAATATGAGATGAGAAGAATTGACAGGAGAACCAAGAGGGATTGAGTCTCTTGGACAAGGATATCTTGGAAGAAAAATTAGGGCCAGAAAACTTGTAGAGATTGGACAACAGTTAAATAAAACATCTCAGTCTTCTACCATTCATGGATGACGTATCTTTGCCACTTCAACCTGATATGTGGTGAAGTGATAGAAACCAGTGCAGTGAGCAGATGGTTCTGATTCCATTCATGTGGCGCTTAGCTACAAGGACAGACTGACTGGACTCATCTCCCAGTTAAGGTTATATATTTGGCTTTTTTTTTTTTTTCCTGTGATCTTGGGAACAGAGCACTCAGAAGGCAGCCTTGAATACACTGCTGTATCTATTGCTTTGGTTAGGACCCCTGCTTTATCCCAGGGCAAAGTGACCGGTGCTTGTTTCATTCTGTCCTTCAGTACCTTGCTATATTCTCTTAAAATCTTGCTTCAGAAATTAATGAATCTTCTCTTGGATGGTACTGGTCTGGTACTCATTTCTGTACAGTTATTTGTTACCGGAACGGTCTGGTGAGATGAGGAAGTGGTTTGCTTCCTATTTTACGCATGAGCAAAGGCACAAAGAAGAGAAGTTCAGATAGTTCTGCATGCGTGGCTAGAAATGACTGGAACCCCAGCCCTTCTAGAATATTTTATGTATTACAGCCATATCCCTATCAGATGTGCTGCTGTTCTCTTGCTGCAGTTCCATTTCGAGACTTTCTTTGTCTCTTTGGACTTACGGACACCGTAACTGAATTGGAGAATGCAGTAGTGAGCAAAGTCTTGCATCAAGCAGGACATGGTTGTTTCATTTTGCTAGAAAGGCAAACTTTTATTTCTAGAATTATTTTTTCCTCATGTAAGTATTTTCTTGCTCAGAGCAATGAGGAAGGATTAATTCTGGCATTGTGTGACTCTCAAGAACTCATACTCTGGTATTAGGAACTCTCACAAACCTTTGATATTGATTCAGATAGTGGTGTTTCCTGCATTCCTGAGCTGTACTGCAGTCACACAGCTTTAGGGCCAGACTTGAAGGGTCAAACTTTCAGGTGCTGTAAAAAGATCCGTGTTGGTATTCAGGCGGTATGGCGAAGTCGTGCTGGTAGTGCAGCTTCATTAGCAGAATTTGGGGTAACCAATTCCTTTCTCTTCCTGTTTGGTGAAGGAAGGAGGGATGAGCTTGTTTTTATTTTTCAGTGGAGGCTCTGTTTGAGTCTTCCACGTTGCTCTGCTTGGCTGTTGAGTTAGATAGGCAGACTTGGTGGATGTAGTCACTGGAAGGGAGGAGCTGTGAGCGCTTTCTGTTTTGTAGAGCCCTGTGGCTTCTCACGTTTCTCTTAGGGAACCATATCTGTTTATTCTGTCACTGGAAGGAAGGGTAAAACGCCTTTGCTATTCTTTTTTGGATCCTCCTACTAACTCATCATCCAGTTTTGCCTGGGGAGCTTCTGCTTAAGATAAGTCCTGTGAATGCAGCTTATTCTGGTTAGAAAACTGCATAGTACTTTAAAGAGAGGAAAATAAGTTTACTCCTGGGTAAAGAAAAGAACAGCAGCCTCTGCTGATGGAGCTGTGGTTTTTTTGCCTTTTCTTGCCAGGCCTACTGTGTTGGCTTCTGTTCAGTTAATGTTTGGCTGATCGGCTCTGAAGCTAGCAGGGCTAGGAACGCTGTGGCTGTAGGTTTCTCTTGAGGGCTTTGCATTCACTGGCAAGAAATACCTTGAGTCTTTAAAGTAGAAATTTCTGTGCCCTGTTAGGGAGGAAAAGATCACAGGAGTAGTTTGGATCAGAAAGCTCAGGCGGTACTCCGGGTTTTTCTAGAAGCACAGCTGGCTGCTGGTGTGATACTGGCCATGTGACAAGCAAATTGAGGGACTTTCATGTTGAATAGTAATGTTTACGTTTGTAAAGGGCACAGAAACAAAAATTTTAAACAATCAGAGCCTTAGGTGCTGTTTTCTGGCCTTACCCAGGCTTCCTGTGTACTGAGTTCTGTGATCTGTCAGCTCTACCCACCTTCACTCCTGTGGGTGGATTTATGCAGTTTAAGTATGTTCAGCTCAAGTAAGAACTGTAGTGACACTTGGTAAAGGAACATGAAGTGCAACATGCTGAAGCACAGCTACGTGTGGTGAGTCAGGCAGGAGCCGGGAGTAGCAGCCCTGAAAAAGAAGAGGAAGTACAGTCATTATAAAACTTCATTTAAAAAAAGACAAACAAACAAA